TGTTCCAGACCATACTTGTGTTAGGTTTAGTTTGTATTTGTCTTGTGTTTTGCTTAATTTGTATTTGAACTGGAACAACATTTTAAAATATGCACACAAAAGTAAATACACATACACATTTCATATACACATTTCTAACAAGAAGACATTTTAATGGTCATCAGAGATCAATGATGGGCAATTAAGATTTCTGAAGATCGATATTAACACTAGACCTTTCTGATAGATCCAAATTGCCTTCCTAGCTGAGAGAGCTAAATTTCCCATTGCTGTATTTCAATACTGTCAGATTGCTTTATGCTTTCTTGTGAATATATTCTTTGCACATCACTCTGGTTTTAGACAGAATGCTGCTCAAAGTAGATCTGAAAATGTGGGTATTAATGAAAATCCAATCATAATGATATAAGGTTCATACAGTAAATAGTTGTATTTCTATGTCAATATCATCAAAAAGTGAAAGTGTAATTGATCAATTGAAAGTGATTTTTAAATTGTTGAAAGGTAGACAGTAAATTGTATTTACCTCTTGAATACTACCACAAAGTGTTTGGTCTGGCATTATATTTTTTATCAATATTAATTTAATGTTGTGTGTTTTAATGTTTCTACTGTAATGTAGCTGTCAACCCGACTGATATAATTACAGTTGTTGACAAGAGAAAAGAGATTTTACTTAATCTTACAATTTGATGTCGTCAGTATGTACCGTTAAACTTCAAAATGATAATGTCTCTGTTTCCAATCAGTAAACAAGACAAAGTCTTCAGCTCAACAGCCAAAACAACTTTAAATTCTGTCAACATCTTTTGAGTGAAACGAACAGCACAGTCTTCAACAATTGACATGCTTACAAACTGACTGTACATTTCCTTGCAACACTACAGAAATAAGTGGGAATACAGCCCTCTATCCATTTTCTAACCTCTAACCAATCTCTTCTTCTAATTCCGGGTCGCGGGTAAGCAATGGGCAGCAAAGGGTGTAAGACAGATCAAACCCTGGACAGAATGCCAGTCCATTGCAGGGCAGACAGACATGCACATTCACTCCAGGGCCAATTCTCCCCAAAGTCAATTAACCTCCCAGCATGGTGGAAACCCTGCGTGGGATAAACTTTACATTCCCATTGCCTTCAATGACAGTAAAACATATTATTTTCTCAAAGGGTTGAGGGTAACTGAAATATGCTGGGTGAGATATTTCTATCAGTAAGCTACTAGCAACCAAAGATCCAAGATTGGATGAATGGTCACCACTTGTTTGCAACACTTCTTTTATTTTTACAGGCTAAATTGAAATACTGAATATTTGGAGTAAATTCCCATGGCTTTTATTTGATCAAAACAGCAGAAATATGAGTTTTTGACTGAAAAATACAATATGTCAATTCCATTTTTTAGGGACAACATTAAAATAGTGCAACTGAAAGGTGCGTCCGCTTCAGTATTATGAAATGGTTATGATCAGGGTTTAATAATGAATTAATGCTGATTTCACACTTTTTTACCTTTGTATAACCAAAACATAATATGAAGAATTAATTTTCGAAATATTCCTTTGAAGAACAAAAATAATTGTGGAATCTAAATGTTGATACCTAAACCTTTTTCACTTACCTTTTTAAAACTGTTTAGATGTCTAGTATGGCACAATCTCAGCATTGATTGAGCCAAATGTATTTTCTTCTTTTTTTACAGACACTTGACATAATTTATCTATCCTTACCACATGCTACTCTTCTGGAGTAATAAGATATTCAGAGTGGAATTCTGGCTTCCTATGCTTTTCTGTCAGATTAATTTGAACCTCACTAGCTGTATACAGTACTTCACTGTCACCTCTGTCATCAAACTTGGACAACTTCATTTGCATAGTGACTTATTGGTTAGTTGATGCTTGTTAATTATTTTCCAAGACTTTTAATGACAATCAAGTTATTTTTCCTGACAAGGGTCTTATGAATGATGCAACAAAGCTGTCATTGTAAGCTCAGCAGGATGATGTGGATCTGCCAGCCATTTTTTATAAATAACCCTCAATCTGCACTGTGCTAATGTCTAAGCTTTCTTTGAAGGACAGTGCATTCCTTTGTACAAAATGATGAAATCCATACAAAGATTATATGTAGAACGAATCAGATAAGTCCCATAAGCATTGCTGCTGTATGCTAAATCTGTTTGCATCCTTGTAGTATTTAGCATTAGCCTCATTACAAACTGTAGGCCTGTATCCTTTTGCAACATGGACTGTGACTTTTGATGATCTGTTCATGGTCAACTGACTTAGTGTTACTTGCAAGAAGGCACTATACGTCTATGGGCCTTATAGCAAATAAATCCCTGTTTGGAACCAACAGAGATTTACTATGAGTAAATTCAGTAAATGTTTTGAATGTAGCATTCTGTGCGCCTGTTAAAAAAACAGTTCTAAATATTAATCTATCCATCCAATAACAATAATCTAACCCCTTTAGCCAGTACAGGGTCACTGGAAGTCTGGGGGCCTATCTTGGCAAGCAAAGGGCGCAAGGCCAGGTACACCCTGAACGGGACGCCAGCCCCTCACAGGGAAGACAAACACAGTCACGTACACACTCACACCAGGGCCAGTTTTCTCACAGACCAATTAACCTACCAGTAAATCTTTGGACTCTGGGAGGAAACCCAAGAACTTAGTGGAAACCCATGAGAATACTGATGTTATGTACTGTAGATTTTTTCCATGTGAATGCAAGACTATGCCTAGACTACATCTAAAACCTTAACACGGAAATTTAGATTGTTAATTGATATATATTTACATTTTTAATACATTTTAATAATAGTGATCAATGGGTGAAATGTACAACACATATGTATACT